GCACGGCATCGCATCGGCCACCTTGCTGGCCTTGGGGACCACGATGCAAAGGTGAAAGGGGCTAGGTTGTCCGTTTTCCGTTTGGTTCGTTGGTTTTCTTTTTTAAAACATCCTTCGGAGATTTAGGAGGGTTGGTACAGAGACCTTGGGTTCCTAAAACCTCTGTGCCCCCGCAGGGATCGCTTGCCCGCAGCTGGAAGAGGCCGTCCCGCAGCCCGCACTGGTGCTCAGGAAATGCAGAGCTCCCAGGCTTTCTCCTCCACCACACCTCCCTCTTACCAGCGCCGCTCCTGGGAGCAGTGCTGCTATCTCCAGGGTAATAAAATCTTAAGGAGTTGGAGGGTGTTTGTACCCCGTGTCCCCACAGGTGCCTGTGATTTGCGTTTCCCCTGCATTGCGGAGGGGGCAAAGCTTCCATTAAATGGGGTTTTGGAAGACCCTGCTCTGGCAAGGAGGCTTGGTTTGCAGGGAGAGCCGTGGCTGGGCTCCCCCTGCCCGCATCCCAGGAGAGGGATTCGAGATGTTTGGTTTGTGCGGGATACTGGATGGAGAAGATGAAGGGATATGTGCAATAAGGGCTCCAGGTTTGGATCGTCAGACTAGGATGGGGGAAGGCTGCCCTCGGTGCTGCCCTCGATGGCTTGGAAGCCAAAATAGTGGAAGTTTCTCTCTTTTCTTGGGTACGTGCTGGTTGGGGCTGGGACATCCCCTTCCTGCCACCCCTTCGTCCTCCTCAGGACCATCAGGATTTCCTCTGCTCGCTCTGCTCTTCCCCGGTTACTGACAGCAAGCCGGGGGGGAAATCCACCCCTCTCCGCTCCCTGCCAGCCTCGGGACATCTCCTGCTCTGTAGGATCTCCAGTCCCCTCCCCAGCCTATCCCAAAGGGACCAGGGGAACCAAACTGATTTTCCTCGGGGATTTTCAGCCCAGCTGCAATTTTCACAGGACTTGTTTCCTGCGCCGGGCTGAAGAAGGAGGGTGGGTTTGCTGCCTGCACAGCCCAGGGGAGGAGGGCTTGAAAAGCCCCCGTGTTCCTGCGGCGGTGGCTTTGTCACCACCCTGCCCTGGCGCAGCGAAGCGGGGACTTTGATGACGCCAGCGCTCCAAAGACCAGCATTGTTCAAAACGCCCGGCTGCGGACAATTTCGCTCACAGCGCTGCCGTCGCTTGCAGAAACGGGGCTTCTTGCTGCAGCTCTGGGTCACAGGCTTCGATTTCAGCACATGGAGTGATCCCTGCTGCGCTCGGCTCGGCATCTGTCTAAATCCCTGTAGGATCGGGGCCAGAACCGATGATGGGACCCGGTGGAGTGTGCAAGGGGGGCAGAGCTACAGCTGGTATTGATGCTCAGCTCGGTAACTCCTGGCTCGCCTGCTGTTGAATGTCGGCACGGGTGAGTTTGGGATTTTGTTTTGCTCCTGGAGAAAGCAGGGCAAAGCTGGAATTTGTGGCTGAGCCGCCCTGCAAAGCCAGCGCTTGTTCTCATGGGTCTTCCCCCTTGCAAAAAGACCCGGCATCCCTCGTGATGGATGCTGGAAATGGGATTGCATGAAGTGTGATGGGTTAGGGGTTGAGGAAGGAGACCTGAACCACACGTTGCATCTTCTCCCAGCTGCCACCATGCCCCTCAGGGCATCTTTCCTGTCTCAAGCTGCGGTGTCGGCTCTGATCTCCATCCGAGGGCAGCGGGAGCGTGCCTGGCACTCACCCTCATCCCCGTGCCATCCTGCATGTGCTGGGGAAGGAGCAGCTCTGCTGTTATTTTGGGTTTGCATCTCCAGCCCAGCCCTGGCTTTTGGGCAGCTGGGACTCCCTGGCGTAGCAGGGTATGGCTGGTGAGGTTCCCGTTCTTAGCTTATGGGTAGGATATATATGTACATGTGGATGTGCGTGTTGTGTTAAGGCTGAAGATCGTTTCTGTATTGCCTCATTCATTTTCCCATCCCTCTTCAATAGAGGAGAAATTGTTAGAAATTTGGGCCACGAAAGAGATGCTTTTGTTCTGGTGGAGTGGAGGTTGTTGGAGATGAAGCTGTGGGGACAAAGGCGTCCCGTAAGTACAGCTCCCAGGGAAAGCTCCTGCTGGCTGGGAGGTGGGAATGCGAGGCAGGGGGGTGGATAACACCCCGTCTCCTTTGCTCCCCCCTTTGCCTGCTCCCCTCCATTCCTTTGTCCGTTGCAATTGCAGAGATGGGGAAACCGTCAAGCTGCAGCCGGTTGATCGTGGCACACCAGCGTGCCGGGAGGGCTCGTGATGCTTAAAGGGGATTTTTGCAAGGGCTTGGAGCTGGGCTATTGAAATCCGCTTTCAGATTCCTCCCTGCGCTGTTGGCAGCAGATCCAGCCCAATTCCGTGAGTTCCCTCCCAGCTGGTGCTCACCCGGCTGCTCTGTGGGACTCCGGTACGGCGTTAGGGAGCTTCTGGCTGTGATGTGCTGGGGGTCTGGGCTGGCCCTTAGCAGCTTCCAGCAGCCGGGCGAACCAGTACCCCTTCCAAAAACGCCTGCTGCGATGCGAGGTGGGCTGCAGAGAGACCCCTCGGATGAGCTGGGCTCCTTTGGCTCATCCCATGAGACAAGGGGCTTGCTGCCCCCGCTGAGCCTCACGCAGCCGATAAACCCCGGCCCTTTGCTTCCTCCCGTCGGAAGTCATTAACGCCGACGAGCTTTTCTGGCTGAATACTCCCGGTAACTCCATGCTGCCGCCTGACATCCAACACCGCCGCCTTCCTGGGCTCCCTGCTCCGGGAGCCAGCCTTCAGCGCTCACTGTCCTTCCTCCTCCTCCTCCTTCTGCTGTCGTTGCCATCCTCCACTCTTGCGAGGATGGAAACTCCTCCGGTTTGGGCTGTGCCCGGGTGGGAGCGGGGCGTTTCAGGGCTCCCTCCATCCTGCCCACATCCTTTGGTGGAAGGCTGGGCCGTGCTGCCCCGTCGCCCTCAGGGCTCCTGTATGGGGCAGGGGGTCAACACGCAGCAGAAGGCAAAGCTGCTTCCATCAGCACGGGCGTTCAGAAACCCCAAGGCCACCTTGCAAACACGGCTTGTTAAAGTAATACGTTTTGGAGTTATTTTGCTCGCCTTCAGGGCTTTAAGCCTGCCGGGAGGTTGCACATTGGGTTTCGTGACCTGCTCTGTCAGCGCTAGGGTTGGAAAAGTTTCTTTCTCGGTTTCTCATGGTTTTGGGCGCGTGTGGTGCCAGTGCTTTGGGAGGGGAGCGTGCTCATGGGGGATGGCCCTGGCGTGTTACGGGACCGTGGGCTGTGGGGAGCAGCGGGAGTATCCTGGGACCCTCCTGCACTGAACCCTTCTTGTCTGGTCTTCTGTGGCCCTGTGAAACTGGCCTTACTGGGTGAGCTGGTCCATGTCCTGTAGCACGTTGAAGCGTCAGCCCTCGATGCCGGTCTTGCTCATTACCTGTGTTCACGCGGCCGGGTTCGCTGGCGGAGCTGAAGCCCCGGGAGGCTGCTGCCAGCTGATGGGGTCCTGCTGTGCCGGGGCTGCTGAACGGGAGTTTGCGCCTGTAAAATCCTCCTTTTGCTCCTCCTCTGCCTTCCACGAGTCTCCCCCAGCCCCACGGCCGTTTTTCCAATGCCAGCACTACTACGACTTGCTCCCTTCCCCACGCTGGCGTTGCCCCCGTCTCCATCCCCACTGCCTTTACCCCCTTTCCCAGTACCTGCCATAGAGCTCCCCGCTTCACCCCGAGGAGCTGCTGGGTTTGCTGAGCCGTGCTCAGCCCCTGCCCACGCACCGAGGATCATGTATCTCCCACCGTGACCAGGGATGCTCCTCAGGCACTCCTCCTCCTCTTCCCACCCCATCTCACTGCATGCCCCTCATCTCTCCTGCAGGCGACCAAGCAGTTCCTGGAGGAGATCAACAAGTGGACGGGCCAGTACAATGTGTCTCCGCTCTCCTGGAACGTGGCCGTCAAGTTCCTCATGGCCCGCAAGTTCGACGTCCTGCGGGCCATCGAGCTTTTTCACTCCTACCGGGTAAGCGAGCAGGGCCGGGTCCCACCCCAGCCGAGGGCTTCCTGCTCTGCAAGAGATCTCTGGTCCCAAGGACGACCCTCCCCCTGCTTTTTTTCCTTTTCCCACTCCCTTGTGAGTTTTATCCGGCTGGAAAATCCTTTTTCAGCCAAGGCGAGTCACCATGGAGATCTCGCCAACCCCAGTCCCCTCCCCTCTGCTGAGGGCAGTGTGCGTGCTCGCAGGGTACCCCCCCTGCTCGTGTGCGATGCCCGCAGAGCATCTCCCCATATATAAAGGATATATATGCATATATCCCTTTCCCATCCTGGTTTTGCAAAACTGCTCCTCCCTGTGCTGGGGGTTGCGGTGCTGCAGCCAGTTGCAATCCTCTGCTGGAAAATGGGGCCATAGAACAGAGGTTTCCCCACTGGGGCTTCCCTCGGTGGGCTGGGTGCCCCATGGGGACATGATGGTGGGTGGAGGGCTGGGGTGCCCGTGCTGGCTGTCACACCGGCTCCCTGCCCGCAGGAGACGCGGCTGAAGGAGGGCATTGTGAAGCTGAAGCCGCACGAGGAGCCGCTGCGCTCGGAGCTGCTCAGCGGCAAGTTCACCATTCTGGTAGGTGGGGGTGTCCCCTCCTGAGTTACCCCGACCGGGTAACTCATCCTGGCTCTGCTCCGTGCGAGTGTCCTTGGGTGCCGTGGGAGCCTGACCCTGTTTCCTCACCAGAGCGTGCGGGACCCCTCGGGAGCCTCCATCGCCCTCTTCACGGCCAAGCTGCACCACCCCAGCAAGAGCGTGCAGCATGTGGTGCTCCAGGCGCTCTTCTACCTGCTGGACCGAGCGGTGGAGAGGTGAGCCTGCCTCTGCCGAGGTACCGTGTCTGACAGCGGTGGGTCCCCCCCAGGGAGCCCCTTCCCTCCCAGGGGCGAGGGGACATGCTGCTACCTCCTGAGGTTTTGACGAAATCCCTCCAAAAGGCTTCAGAGAGAAAAGATGTGCTATCTCTCCCATGAATATGAATTCCTGAAGGTGAAATTGTGGCTGAGTCTGTCTGTATGCCTCCAGGTGTCCCATCTCTATTAGGGGAGAGAAGGGGTCGCAGCTCTCTGTGGCTTGAAATTCCTTATTGTCCCCTGGTTTGAACTCAGGCCAGTCATCCCCACGGAGGCATTCGGCAGAACAAAATCCCTAGAGCCCTGAACCAGGCTCTTTGCAGCCTTTCCCTGCCCACGTCCAGGTTTCAGTTTAGCAAAGCCCTTGATTCCTGCACGCTTCGGCTGGGGAGGAGGCAGCCACGCCACCGGCGAGATGTAATGTGAGCCCTGCCAAAAATATAAAGCTGGGATGTCCCATTTATCCTGCTGGGCTCTTTCTGTTTTTGAACTTACCCATCATGGGCGATGCAGCTGAGACAGGTTTAAGACGCGAGCCAGGCTTAAATAAGGGTTGTGGGAAGAGGTGGTGGAGCAGCTGGGAAATGCAGAAGCGAGCTTTGGGTCCGTGAGTCCTTCTGGAAGCACAGAAGGGGATTTTGGGGGGTCAGCAAGCTGAAGATGAGGTTAGCATGGGACAGATCTGCTCACGCAGGAGCCGAGCAGTTGGGTATTACGGGGTTGACGTTGCTCTTTGCTCTCTCTCAGCTTTGAGACCCAGAGGAATGGGCTGGTGTTCATCTATGACATGGCAGGCTCACAGTACACCAACTTCGAGCTGGACCTCAGCAAGAAGATCCTCAACCTGCTGAAGGTAACAGCTGGGGGTGATCTGGTGTCTGGGGATGGTACGTGGGGCCACCCGCTCACTGAGTACGTGAAATCCTGTGGTTTCGGCATAAATTTTCACACCAGACCATGCTGACCACGTCTTGGCAGAGGAGCACCAGCTCCAGCCCCGTAGGACCTCAGGAAGGCATTGGGAGCTTGCCAGGCTGGACCCGGCCGGGGCTGCGGTGTCCTGTGGGTGGGAGGGGATCAGCTGTCCCTGTGCCGGATTCCTCTCGCAGCTGCTGGCAGCACTTTTGGGAAAACAGATGCAAATTATTTTTTAATCATGCTGGCATTTCATGCCTCCTCCCTTCTCCGGAAAAAAGAAATAACAGTAAATATTGGCATGGGTGTGTTCTTCGCACAAATCCCAGCTCCCAGGCTTCACCTCTCCCCCGCGGAGCCAAACCCTCTGCCTACCTAATTCCGAGGAAAGAATTTGTTTCCCTATCGGAGCATAAAAATAAGCGCGGCTGTGGGCTGTCGGCTGTGCGTGAGGCACGCTTTGGATGCAGCATTGCCACCTTGGGGTCCCTTTGCTGGTCGTCACCTCTGCAGGGCCATGCCTCTGCCCCAGCAGAGCGTGGACAGGGGCCGGTTCCTCCCCGGTGTTGTGGATCTGACCCCCTCCTGCCCGCAGGGTGCCTTCCCGGCTCGGCTCAAGAAGGTTTTCATCGTGGGAGCGCCCATGTGGTTTCGCGTGCCCTACTCCATCATCAGCCTGCTGCTGAAGGAGAAGCTGCGGGAGCGGGTGCATGTGGGGATATCCCCCCCCGGCACGGGACCTTCGGTGGGGAGGGCTGAGGCTATTTTCCCTTTGGGACAGGGTGGTGTAAGCAACTCGTGCCCCTCGGCCCCATCCGCTGGAAGCTGCTGAGCCCAAATCCGTGGGAAACGGAGGCTTTCTCAGCCTGTTTCGTAGGGGTCAACCTGTTTCAGTATTTTCAGCAAATATCTTGAACCCCTTTTGAAATTGCCTTCGATTTCTTCCTCTGCGGTGAGGCTGCCAGCAGCAGCAAGTGGAGGCAATGGTAAATGATTAAAGGGAAAGGAAACCTCTGCTGAGCATGCAGGAGAAAAGGGAAGCTTAAATACCTGTGCTCAGGCCCTATCCGGCAAAGCCAAAGGTACCTAAGATGGTATCCTCACCATCGGCGGTGCTGCTGGGAGACCCTGGGCTGGACTTTGCCCCTCTGCTTTTGGTGGGAGCTCAGAGCCACTTGCAAATTTGGAGCTGGGTGTTGGTGCAGACTCCCTCCCTGGGTACATGGCGGGGCCAGCCCCTGCCCCGCTGCTGGAGTTCCCCTGGGTGCTCTCCTGCGGCAGGGAAGGAAGGGGGAAGACCCCGATGCTGTTGGGAGAAATCTCTGGGCTCCAACGGGACCATGCCAGACTGTTGGCATCCCAGTCGTTGTCCCCAGTGAACGCTCTCCATCCTTTTTGAAGTCACCCCTGCCCTTCCCCTTCCTCCTGCAGGTGCAGATGGTGAAGATGTCGGAGCTGAAGGAGCACCTGCCCCGGGAATGCCTCCCCGAGTACCTCGCGG